CAATATTTAAAACGTAGTATTAAAAGGAGTCACACGCGCTCGGTCACCACATATGCTAGGCACATATTTAGGCACTTCGAAAAAAGAAGAAAATCGGAATTATCACCAATAGAAGACAGAGAAATAAAAATATTACCCACACTGATTAGCCTGGGCAAATATCCAATAGATGCACTTGAGTCTAGTACTGGAATTTAGAAATAATAAATTGTTACCGGTAGGCACTTTTTTAGGCACTTCGAAGAAAAAAGGTGAAATGGACGTAGTAACTCCTAGAAAGATAATGAATTAGTTCAAAATATTTAAATTAAATGTTGAACGCAAAAATTGCAACAGTTAAACCCAATAATGGTTTTTAAAACTTAGTACTAAAGGGAGACGCACGCGCTCTGTCACCACATATGCTAGGCACATCGAAAAAAAAAGAAAATGAGATGAATCACCAATAAAAAAAAGGAAATAAAAATATTAGTCAAAATGATTAGCCTAGGACTGGGTGAATATCCAATAGATGCACTTGAGTCTAGTAGTGGTATTTGAGAATAATACATTGTTACCGGTAGACACCTTTTACCGTGTTTCCCCGAAAATAAGACAGTGTCTTATTTCAAATTTCTTCCTAAAATTACCACTAGGGCTTATTTTCGGGGGATGTCTTATATTTTAATTTATCAAAAACAAAATTACAAAGTAAAGAATTAAGATATTTGCAAATATGCAAAATATAAAAACCGATATCATTGGGTTTACTTGTTGCAATTTGCATATTAATTTTTTAATTTAAATATTTTAAACTAATTCATTATCATTTTAAAAGTTATTAGTATTACGCCAATTTTACGCATTTTTAGAAGTGTCTAAATAAGTGACTAAAAAGTGCCTACCGGTAACAATTTATTATTCTCAAATATCACTACTAGACTCAAGTGCATTCATCGGATATTCAAACAGGCTAATTATTTTGACTAATATTTTTATTTTCTGTTTTTTTATCCATGATAATTACCATTTTCTTTATATTTCGAAGTGTCTAAATATGTGCCTAGCATATGTGGTGACAGAGCGCGTGCGTCTCCTTTTAATACTATGTTTTAAAAATCGTTATTGGGTTTACCTGTTGCAATTTCCGCGTTCAACATTTAATTTAAATATTTTGAACTAATTCATTATCTTTTTAGGAGTTACTACGTCCATTTCACCTTTTTTTCGAAGTGCCCACAGGTAACAATTTATTATTTCTAAATTCCAGTACTAGACTCAAGTGCATCTATTGGATATTTGCCCAGGCTAATCAGTGTGGGTAATATGTTTATTTCTCTGTCTTTTATTAGTGATAATTGCCATTTTCTTTATTTTTCGAAGTGCCTAAACATGTGCCTAGCATATGTGGTGACAGAGCGCGTGCGTCTCCCTTTAATACTATGTTTTAAAAATCGTTATTGGGTTTACCTGTTGTAATTTCCGCGTTCAACATTTAATTTAAATATTTTGAACTAATTCATTATCTTTTTAGGAGTTACTACGTCCATTTCACCTTTTTTTCGAAGTGCCTAAAAAAGTGCCTACCGGTAACAATTTATTATTTCTAAATTCCAGTACTAGACTCAAGTGCATCTATTGGATATTTGCCCAGGCTAATCAGTGTGGGTAAAATTTTTAATACTCTGTCTTTTATTGGTGATAATTCCGATTTTCTTCTTTTTTCAAAGTGCCTAAATATGTGCCTAGCATATGTGGTGACCGAGCGCGTGTGACTCCTTTTAATACTACGTTTTAAATATTGTTATTCGGTTCACCCATTGCAATTTGCGTGCTATACATTTAATTTGACAATTTTTAACTAATTAATTATCATTTTAAAAGTTATTACGCCCATTTCACCTTTTTTTCGATGTGCCTAAATAAGTGCCTAAAAAGTGTCTACCGGTAACAATTTATTATTTCTAAATTCCAGTACTAGACTCAAGTGCAGCTATTGGATATTTATCCAGGCTAATCAGTGTGGGTAATATTTTTATTTCCCTGTCTTTTATTAGTGATAATTGCCATTTTCTTTATTTTTCGAAGTGTCTAAATATGTGCCTAGCATATGTGGTGACAGAGCGCGTGCGTCTCCCTTTAGTACTACGTTTTAAAAATCATTACAGTATTGGGTTTAACTGTTGCAATTTTCGCGTTCAACATTTAAGTTAAATATTTTGGACTAATTCATTATCTTTCTAGGAGTTACTACGTCCATTTCAGCTTTTTTTCGATGTGCCTAAATAAGTGCCTAAAAAAGTGCCTACCGGTAACAATTTATTATTTCTAAATTCCAGTACTAGACTCAAGTGCATCTCTTAGATATTTACTCAGGCTAATCAGTGTGGGTAATATGTTTATTTCTCAGTCTTTTATTAGTGAATATGCCATTTTATTTATTTTTCGAAGTGCCTAAGTAAGTGCCTAGCATATGTGGTGACCAAGCGCGTGCGACTGCCATTAATACTGCGTTTTGCATATTGCTATTGAGTTTGCCCGTTGCAATTTGCGTTTTCAACATTTAATTTGACCATTTTTAACTAATTAATTATGTTTTTAAAAGGTATTACGCCCTTTTTATTTTTTTTCCAAAGTGCCTAAAAAAGTGCCTAATTTGCAAGTGCCTACTTTTAGTCCGTCCCTAGACAGGAAGGAGTGATACGACCAGACGGTCATTAAAGTCAACTCCCCCTTTCAAGCTATTATGTTTAATATTCACAGTTTCAGATGACTAAATATTGGGGTGGGTGGAACATTCTAGAATTTAGAATTATATTTTCAAAATGAAAAAGAATAAAATTGGGGTGGAGAATGCTAGAATAAATCATTTTTATTTGTTTATGTGGAGCGGGATTTCAAAATCTAAAAAGAAATTCCAAAGGTTACTGAATGAATTTACATAATCTATACGCATATGCGATGAATTAGCAGAAATGCTTTATTTCATGGCATAGGTACGCATCGAATATATAACAAACATCATCTGCTTTGATGCTGTCTAGTTAACAAAAAAAAGAAAAAAATCAGTCATTCGGGCAAAGTCATCAAATTTGACAAGAATAGGGCCGAATAAGCATTATTTCAGCATAATATTTTTTTGCTTGAAGAGGGATGTAAAGTAATATATAAGAAGATAAAAAAACAATAAATAAAAATGTAAACGAATTTAATAGTAGGAATGTTGTAACCACAAAATATAATGCAAGATAGTAATTTCATTATCACAAAATATGAATATAAAAAGCACCATTGGCGAGAGAGAGATTTTATACCTACAAAACAATGTTAAAAAAGGAAAATAGTACAGATTTTTATAGAAACACAATGCAGTGAATATTTAAACATTGAATCGTGTTGATCTGAATGCAAGACCTTTTCAGGCCACTGAGGCTCCTGACCATTTTATTTCACCTCTATCGAGTGTTCTTTTTTATCAAGTGAATGAGTGGCTGAGCCCGTATTCATGTAAGTTTTTAAACTAATTTTAAGCTATGCACACCCTTCTTGTTTCTTCTTTCCTATTTTTACACAAGTCAAAAGAAATTATTCTTCATCACTTTACAATAATTGTCACTATTCAATATAACTCAAATTTAGCATCACCTTGTAGGCTTGTTTGAAATTTTTATGTGTTTCAAGTGTCGTCATATTTTAGGCGGAAGAGCAAAATAAATGATTGATTATCAATTGTGGAATGTCGATCTTATTGTCATAAAGTGACACTCGGCCCCTAAAGGCCACAGACCTTCTCTATGTATGGTTAGTCATGACTACATCAATCGCGGTAAATTGACTACTATTCGTGCGATTTATTCTCGTGTACTTTCGTACCAAAATAACTTCTAGTGTGCTTGTCGTAACCCGTTTGACATATATTATTCCTAACTTTCACCTAACTACGTCATCCAAAAATTTCGTCACTACGACGTTACAGTCCACGTCATATAGCTTGTCAAAGTACAGCGAAATGGCAGCGATCTCTCTCTTATCGGGAACACTACGACGAAAAAACGAGAGAAATCACTCTTCTCTTTAAATACTGTACCAATTGCTTTCAAATTTTTAGTGGTGAGAGATTGAATCTGTCTCTAGAAGAGGCTATTACTTTTATTCATTTCGAATATTTCTGTGAGCTCAATGGGATTTGTTTTTTTGTGTGCTATGACGTCATCAAAATTTGCCATTTGCGGTGCCGCGAACACATATCAGCCGATTTTGTGCTCAGCGAACGCCGGTGGATCTCGTGCGAAAGTGGGAATTTATTCGTGGAGAACGGTGGACTGTGGTACCTGATCTGGTAATGCAGTAGTGACCCGGATAACTTAGTATTTCAATTCACTTTGGAACTGAATCAAAAAGAATAGATCATCGCCACAGGACCTGAAAAACCTATGACAGTCCCTGTACTGTAATTGGTGCCCCGATTCGGGTACTGTTAAGTTACCGCATGTGATTTTGGGAAGTTTTTCATGCGGAATGGTAGACTGATCTGGGGCCCCATTCACAAAGCTTCGTTACCGTCTAACGTGTTAGTTAAGCGCCGACTCTCTCGTAAAAAGCAAAAATGGTATTCACAGAGCTTCGTAAATATTCGAGAGAAGTTATTCGAGAGAATTTTTTTGGCGCCAAATGAGACGTCTCGTAAAGTGCCTTCTTCTCTCATTTTACCGAGAAATGGTATTCAGCAAACTTCTTTAACGCGCTGAAGAGCTCGCTAGCAAACGAGAACAATCTTCGCCTCGTTAACAGTTCGTATTGCTCTCGGCAGTGATTCAAGTTAAAATAGTGTCGTTTAGACGTTAGCATACTTTGTAAAAATTGGCATAGTATCAAAAGGCCTTACTCGGGTAAGCGTGTATGTAGTCTAGTGTCGGTAACTTAGCTGTGGGATATCTGCCGCATTTACAGAGTAAACTAGGGTTGAGATTCAGAGATTGTTAGGTTCATTGTTTTTTTTTTTTTTGTTTATTCTAGCGTTATTATAAACACAGATTCAAAAATGGCTGCTTATATTGAAGCTTGCAGAAGAAAAGCCCCAACAATCTCTCCATATCGTATAAGAAAGAAAAATCTCAATTGCAGGCAATCTGCGATGAAAATATGATCTTCACAGACATTGTGGTCAAATGGCCTGGCTCGAGTCATGATTCGTTCATTTTACAACAATCCAACATATATGACAAATTCGAAAGTGGCCAATTTGGTAACAGCTTGCTGCTTGGGGACAGTGGATACCCATTAAAAAAATGGTTGATGACACCAATATCAAATCCCAATGGGACAGCCGCTGAAAGATATAATATTGCACACAAAAAGACAAGAGTGATTATCGAAAAGTAAGTTTATTCATAAATTAATATTATGCCTTTTATAGCAGATAGCAAATAAACAAATCTTAATGACCATACTTACTCCCAAGTATTTCCAACCAAACAGCTAGACAGAAAATTTACACAATGTACACAATAAAATATTATGTTGCATTTCAAAATTGTATGTTAAATGCCGCATCAGAGATAAATAACTGCATTTTGTTTCAGAGCATTTGGAGTGTTGAAGCAAAGGTGGCGTATTCTTGATCATACCGGGGGCAAATTGTGCTATACACCATTGAAAGTTGCGAAAATTATAGTATGCTGTGTTATTCTACACAATATGTGCAGGAGAAATAATGTTCCTCTGCCTTCCAATGGGAGAATTTACCCTGTACCAGACACAGATGACACTGCAGCACAAGATGATTTCGAACCCACTGCAGAGTCCGTGCGTTCGGCCATAGTTTCAAGTTTTAGTTAGTGTATCGTCAAAATTTTTGTGTGCTTGCAGTAAGGGTGTTGTCAAAAACTTAATACACATGAAATTGGTGACAAGCGTGACGTCACCACAGATTACCTCATACCCTTGCGACATGTGTCATGTACATTTCAGATCGAGTCGATTTGAATATGGCCACTCTCAGCTTGGTTGGGGCTGTTTGTGTCACAATATCAAATTTGAATATTCGGAACACTTCGTCATTCAATGATTGTGACATAAGCAGCCCCAACCAAGCCCTTAACTGAGCTGGGAGTGACCATATTAATATTGACACATCTTTCTGAAATGTTTGATAGACTTGTCGCAAGGGGATGGCGGAATCAGTGATGACGTCACGCTATTCGCCAATTTCCAGGTTGTATCAAGTTTTTGACAACTCCCTGGCAGCGAGTCATAATCCCCCTATACATGTTGAAAAAGTAACATGAAATTAAGTCTTCAAATTTCTTTAAGAAAATAAATGAGTCTCAATTTTGCGTTCCTTTTTCAATTTTTAAGTACCGGTATAAAATTTTGCGTTGGAGAGTATACAAAATATGAAAACTCAAAATCGTTTACTTATAAATAACACACTTTAATTTTAAAAGCTGCTGAACATAAATTTTTTAAAAAGTAACACTTGGGCTTGACCATGTCATTCATCATCTTCCGGAATTTCTTGCAAGTCACTAGATTCAGATATTTCAATGGAGTTTTTTATTCAACTTAATTTTTACACCCACAGTTTGATGTTGAGAAATAAAGATCTTTGGCCTGTCCTGTTTCATGGGAAGGGCTCATTTTAAAATTCCGGCTAGGTCTTATTTTTGGAAAAACACATAAATAAGAAACCCAAAAATAAGACCTAGCCGGAATTTTAAAATAAGCCCTTCCCATGAAACAGGACAGGCCAAAGATCTTTATTTCTCAACATCAAACTGTGGGTGTAAAAATTAAGTTGAATAAAAAACTCCATTGAAATATCTGAATCTAGTGACTTGCAAGAAGCAAGAAATTCCGGAAGATGATGACATGGTCAAGCCCTAGTGTTACTTTTTGAAAAATTTATGTTCAGCAGCTTTCAAAATTAATTATGTCAACATCTACGCCAGAGCTGTATTTTATCATTTTGTTGCTATGTTTTTTTGCAATAAAGAAACCACTTTGAATAATAGTCTAGTCTCACATATCTCGAAAGTGATACTGTCAGTTTCGTATTGCTTGCTATAGGAGGGTCTCTCCCACTGTTGTGCTCCATCAAAATATTCGAATGCGATTTAATGTTTGGCAGACTGACTGATGCACGATTATGGTAGGAGCAATAATAAGCCAGCACATTTCTTATCGCCTACTCATTTCGTGGGAATTTCCAATTAACAATATGTATTTAATTCACATTTTCTGTTTTGGTGCCATATTTAGAAACCTGTTCACATTACGATAATAGTTTAAAGATGGGATTGGAGTATTGGTCAATAGTAACAGGCAGCATAAAAAGTCGTGCGAATTGTAATGAAATTCCAGGCTAAATGAAAAAATGTACAGAGAGAACCAAATGTAGTTTGACAGTATTAATCAAGTTTTTTGGCAGCCTGCCCACTTATGGATCATCCCATATACAAGGTACAGGTACTACAATTTTGAGTCACTATATTTTTGAGTCACAATATTTTTCAGCAATTTTTGCCAGACTTTTTTCCATTTTCTTGTGAGAGTCTACCAAACTATGCAGTAGTTCTTTTATTTCTCTTTGGATTGTGACAATGTCACTCGCCTCGTCATCGCAGCGTCTTCTTTTTCTTTTGCTTCTTTTGCTGCTGACTGTAGACGATGCAGAATGGTCATGACAGGAAGTTTCACTTTCAATATATGAAGTGTATGGAAGCGCACCCCCTAGGAACAAATATTGGTTTTTTGCTATTATCAGAGAAAAAAAAAAGGCAGGTTAAATTTCATTGTGTAATTAGGGCACAATATAAAATTATACATACCAGTGCCTTGGTCTTCATGTTCTGCAAACGCAAATGGTTGCGAAGATGCAATTATTGGACCTGTAAAATCAAAATAGGTATTGATAAGGGTTATATGTCGTTAGCAGCAATAGTGATTAACTGATTAAAGGTACATGACTTACTTGATGATCCTTCGTACGTGTCACCTGAATTGACTTGAGAAATTTGCATCGAAAGTGAGGATGTTTCAGCATGACCTAAGAAAATAAATCATATGCTCAATAATCATTGATATGCTACAATATTTTTTGTATAACGTATTTTTGAAATTTCAACATACAAAGCCAGTTTTCGATTGCTGCAGCACCTGGTATGCCCTCAACTGACTCATTTCCCATAAGGGCTATTATCCTGTAGTCCATCTCTGTAGGTGGTTTTGCAGTAATTGTACCTCCTCCAGTTTTTTTTAAATCTTTCCTGTACAAAGAGACCCTCTTTTTGGCATTCGACTTCATGTCGTACCACTTGTGTTCTATCTGGCTATCGGTTCTAATACTCCCTGTAATATTGACTGAATTCACCTATGAAGAAAATAGTAAATATATGATAAATGATAATAAATTTGATTAAAAGCTCTGCTATCCTGCAATTGCACTTTCAACGTATCAATAACTGTGATCTACATTAGCAACTTTTGGCATTTGTACACACCTTGTTCGAAATATCTCTCCATGCTGCTCTTTTGCTTTGTGTAGTAACACTCTGAGAGTAAGCCCCAAAAACTTGTTCACGGTGTTGTGAAACCCCAGAAACTAGTGCCTCAATCTCATCAGGTGAAAAGCACTTTGCCCTTTTCGTTTTCACTGACATAGTAATTACGGTATGGTACCTTATATACTAGTTACACTCGATAATCTGCAAGATGAAAATAACATTAAAGTTGAAGCGACCGCTCTTACTGCAATATATACCTACTCTGATGGAATCATATACTGTTTCACTGCAATACTTGAATACAGCTACACGGACTAACTCAAAGCTGCAATTAGGTATGGTACGGTACTAACATCAAAACGGTACTTTGGAAACTCACTCATTTTATTGTATTCATTCCATGTATCCGTCAGTCTAGATTACGGCGCTGCTATATGAACAAAACGCAGGCTGCAAAAAAGAAAGTAGCGATACACGCTCGACCCGATGGCGGCGATAACTGATACGGCTGAGTGACCAGTCAGTGAATTTTGTTCAACTGCGAACGAGCGTAAGATTTCGAGAGAATACATTAACCGTGCGTCAAGTGCTAACGAGGTCTTTGGTGAATCGCATTTAACGAGATTTCGCTATCACGATTCTGAGAGACACAGTTACGAGATCGTAAACCCGACTTTTTACGAAGTTTAGTGAATGGCGCCCCTGATGATACAGAAGTGACTGGGATCACTTGGCATTTCAATTTACGTTGTAACTGAATTTTGAAGAAAAGGATCATCGTCACAGGACCTGTAAAATCTATGAGGGTCCCCGTAACCGTCACGGTATCCCGATAAAAGTTAAGTTTCTGGGGAATTGGTGATAAAATAAATAATATTGCTCAATTCTACTGAACTGGTTTCCGATTCCCTTTTCACTTAATCGTGGTCCTTTTTTTCCTCGACCTTCATTTACCTGAGCTGCTCTACCTCCCTTCGGCTTCTTTTCCTCGTCTACCTGTTATATATGCTGATTCCGTTGTACATCTAGGTCTTCCCGAGGGATTCGACCCCACTGGCCTGATGTTTGACCATATCTCTACGCTTCCCCTGCTGACGAGAATCGGGCGGATCAGCATCTTACTTAATTAACAATGTCACGCATGGCTGCCAACGACGAGGCTAATTACCACGAAACAAACTGCTTTATTTATAATCAAAAAAGATTTTCGGTTGATGATTTTCCGAAAGTAAAAAACTACCTTCGTTGCGGCAACTTGGATTCGGTACACACGTTATCTTGATCAGCATTTGAGAGTGTTAACCGTTGTCCCATGGCTAATTAGGTTGCTGAAGGTGAAGTTTCATCTTCAATCAAAAAAGGAAAGGTAATTATTCAGAGAAGGCAAAACAGGGATACGAAACTATGACATGTCGACCACTATACGAGAATAATTAACCCTTTATTCAAGCTGATGTTCCAGTTCATTATCAAAAAATGTCAGTTGATGATTATCAGAAAGTCAAAAACGTTCAGGTACGTCGTCACCGAGATTCAAACCCACGGCATTCTTGTTATCAATCGAGAGTAATAACCGTTGATCCACGGATGACAATGCAAGGTCCTGCTCAAGCTTTATTTATAAACAAAGAGCAAACGGTTCAGCAAACGTGGTGCTTCAAGACTTGTTGGTAACGATAACGATAAGCAACATTTCTGTCCATATATTTAAGAACTGCGAACTTGATTTTTATAGTGTCCCTCTGCATAATTTACCCATGAGTATGCATACTTAACAAATAACATGCAAGTCTTTAAGAAAGTACATTTTACCTGTTCATATATTTGGTTTCTCACTTTCAACCCGAATCTGAATTATTCACTCTTTTGTGTATTTTTTTGGTGGTTGGGTGCTTACTTGCACGATTTTTAGTTATGCTCGCCTCTCATGTATCTCTGCATTCTGCTTGTCTGTTTATTCTTTGTGTTGTTTTATGCCATTTATACCGAAATAAAATGATTGTTTAATTAATAATTTTCAGAAAGTCAAAAACCATTTTTGTTCCGGCTATAACTGCATTTGGTACGCACGATATCTTGATCATAGTGGAAAGCAATAATTATTGATCAACGGCTATCAAAGTTCCGATTGTTTTAAGTTTTATATTAAAACGTATGTTTATTTGACTCACAACTGTAACACTAACTTCGTATTAATTAAACAGCATAACACAGACGGGATACATGAAGTGGTGGGATTCATCCGGTTCGCACAGGTTCTATAGAACCGTCTCACGGAACTTTATAAGATCAGCGAACCGGTTAGCATTACTGGTTACTGTCAATGTTCTGTTTGAAACCGAACCGGCTGAAAAATATGAATTTTGTGAAAGAACCGGCTGTCGAAAAATTTGAATCCCACCACTGGATACATGATCAGGACCGTAGCCTACTGGCCTAAGAAACGACTCAAGACAAATAAAAATCTAATATGATTCAATACAGAAGATAAAGAGCTACGTCACAACGACGATATGTACAATATTCAGTTTATGGCACGTTCATGTCCTAGGTTCTGGTGTGAAAACATGGAAATTGGGTATAAATCGCATTTTGATGTGTTTATACAATAAATCTTACGAAACATGTAAAGATGTAGCCTACTTACCAAACAAAGAAGATTGTCGGTTGATGATTGTTCATTATTAAATGGTGGTTTATGGTGGTCTCACAGTCAAAAATTCTTTTTCCCACGACATATTCGGCTCCAGTGAAGGGTAATAACCATTGTTCCACGATTATCCGGTAAAGATTTTCTCAAAAACTAATAAGAATGTCGGTTGATGAAGTCAGAAAGTTAAAAATCATTTCTGAGTCGGCGATTGTGGGATTGGTACTCACGTGATCTTGACCACCACCAGGGAAGAGTAATGACCATTGATAATATCAAAAATGCAATTAGGATAACTTTTGTTGAAATGCTTTTTTTTTGAATCCTCATCACTTAGTGAACCACAATACCGTTTAGGATATGATAGAATTTACATCTTTATCCCGGGGGAGAGGAAACCCGATGAGACGGCTTAACCACATGGCGAACCATGGCTTCTCGTCCGGTTACCAGTCCAAGGGCCCCATTCGCCAAACTTCGTAAAAAACCTCGTTTACGACCACGTAATCTTGTCTCTCAAAAACGCAGTTACGAAATCTCGTCAAGTGCGAAATTCACAAAACATCTCGTAAAAGCTTTACACACGGTCACGCAAGTTCTCTCGAAATCTAACGCACGGTCGTCGTTGAACAAAAACCACTGTATGATCTCTCAACCGCATCAGTCACTGCCGCTAGCCGCCCTGAGCGGACAAGCTCATTTTGCGACGATCTGTAGGGTGTCCCTGTCTACAGACTGTGTTTTAAAATTTGGGTCATATAGCAGTTTTCTATGGATATATGAAATAAATGCTGCAGTACATATTGTGAACTACTTCTGTGACCGACAATAAAATAGATGAATAAATGCAATCCCATATTTGATGTTAGTTGGCATATATAGGTGGGTCCACAGCTACTAGACTACAGTCCCTCTTACCTATGTTAGGCATTTAAGGATTTTTGATAACAATTTTTCACGAAGTATGCAAACACCACAGCATTTGTTGGTGTGCGTGTGGCACATACTTGTCTTGGGTCAGTAAGGTATTGAACCTGTATCCCGTCTTAGCTACTGTTACAAATAAACACACATACATTTTGAGGCCGAATTCATGCTAAAAACATGCCGAACCACTGATAACGAGCAAAATTTCCCCTCGTTAGTTTGCGAGCACTCCGGCGCGTTAAAGATCTTTCATGAATACCGATTCTCGGTAAAATGAGAGAAGATGGCACTTTCTCTATATTCTCTCGAATAATTTCTCCCGAATATTAACGATACTTCGAGAATACCATTTTTGCCTTTACGAGAAAGTGGGTGCTTACCTATCACGTTAAACGATAAAGAAGTTTGGCGAATGGCGCCTAGGTCGGGTAGAACTCAGTGAACACTAGTGTATTCTGTTTCGGGAGATTTTGCTACAAAAAAAAAATGTTTCATGTCGGGTACGGGTATTAGTTAGTTATTTGTTTTCGGAAGCATGGACTCGATGGTGGAGAAATTCGTCGTAATCGACCGTTACCTGTACCACCCTGCATTACACTCAGTCACGACTACTAATATCTCATTCAGGGGTAGGGAATTAATTACCTTTCTGAGTGGGTCAGAAATGCTTTTTAGTAATTTATCGTAATTTGTATTTCTAGTGTGTTTTCAGTATGATCAAAAAATAAACTATTGATCAACTGACCGATTATGGCAAAAAACAACACACAGCAACCCGTTACATACAAAATACGACGTCAAGCACCATCGAGCAGGGTCACCATAGTAACGGCATTCCTTAGACAACGCATTTCGTTAACGTCTGCTCCTGCATGTTTCATTTTTAGTTTAATGTTCGTTGAAGGCCGCTCTGTTATAATAAATATTGTTATAATCTGCATTGTTTTTTATTGCATTGCAGGCTTTACTCACCGTTTGTGCTCCATAATTTTTCTTTCGTCGTTCTTTTCTCAGGCAGTTGTTTGCTGTCTTGTCTATAGCCAGGGTTACCATCCACCTTGAGCCAAAAATAAGCACTGGTATAAAGAGGTTATTTTAGGGGTACTTAACAACGGCGGGAACGCAGAATGAAAATGAGAAAGGAATCATACACCTTCTCATACCCTTCTAGTCTCTTTCGCACTAATTTTTATCCACTCAAGTTTTTGTTAGGATAGGATAGGATAGGATTTACATATTTATCCCGGGGGAGAGGAAAGCCGATAAGACGGCTTATCCATATGGCGAACCACGGCCTCTCGTCCGGTTACCATTCCAAGTCGGGTATGGGATTAGTTTTTTACTGTATTGTTTGTTTTCGGAAGCATGGACTTGGTGGTGGAGGAAGCCGTAACCGACCAGCGGTTACGTGAACCACCCAACGACGGCGAGGAGTCCAGCAATCCTCTCGCACATAACCATCCCTGCATGGGATTCGAACCTGCGAACCCACGCAAAGTGATTAGAGGTGCGGTGGCGAGCGTATTCCTAACGCTTAGCCCGTTGAGGAAGTCGCTCCGAACAAGGTTGCATGCAGCCACGTAATCGCAGAAGGCACGAAATCATAGGGGCCGAGGCCTCACAGGGCATGGACCACGGGTCGAGAATACGCACCCAAACTCTAGAGGTAAAGAATCTGATAACCAAAGGAAAACGTTTCACTTTGTTTTGGTTGGGGGCATCAATGGATATTGAAAAGGACTGATCTCCGGGTTCTGACAGCATTTTTTTCTGAGCATATGGAGCAAG